GCCTTCAATATCTCACTTTACAAAACCCCAAACTCTCATCTATCATGAATTCCCTTCTCCTTTAATATTCCTTGATCACCCCCAGTATTTCCCCAAGTTTTTTGAAGCTTACTTAAAGTCTGGAATGAGTGTCTGACTTCACTTGGCTTCCCCTTTCCGCTGTATAACTAACTCCAGGAGAACATGGTCATTCCTGCCTAAGGATCCCACCACTTCCACCCCACTAAACAGATCATCACTATTGCTTTGAATCAGATCTAAAATGATTGATCCCCTAGTTGCCTCTTCCACCTTCTGGACAATAAAATTGTTTGCCAGGCAAATGAGAAATTTGTTGGACCTTAAATTTTTGGTAGAGTTTGACATTCAACATATATCAGGATAGTAGAAAGCCTCCATTACTACTACATCTCTTCTTTCTGAATGTGTGGTCATCTGTTCCAGGAAAGCATCATCCAAGTCCTCAGTTTGGCTTGGAGGACTGTAGTAGACCCTCACCATATTCTTGTCGTTTCTCTCCCCTTAATTTTTACCCAGATGCTCTCAACCTGGCCTCCAGGATTGAAGTCATGGATCTGTTCACAGGTGTGCACATCCTTAATGTATATCAGCTTTCAACAGTTCTGTGATAAACAGAGGCCCAACTGACCAGTGTAGACCAGTGGTTAATGGTGGTTTAGGACTTGGAAAATCTGGGTTCAAGTCTCAATTAAACCACAAAAACCTTAAACCAGTTACTGTACACATATATACTATCTCTCAACCAAGGTGCTGAATTTTTGATCCTAAAATACTTTCAGCACCATGGACAGCTCTATCTAACCTGGAATAAATAATGATATAAATTATTATTATTATTATTATTATTATTATTATTATTAAATTCACTACCACCTAACATGGAATCTGCCAGCTGGTACTATCTGGATCCAGTGTTCTAGATCTGCATGATTCAGAGTGAATTGGTTAAGGATTTCTGATTCCCTAATTGTTTAACAACAGCAGCTACGAAATTATTCTTCCTTTCACTTTGCATGCTCTTTAAATCATCCTGGTGAAATGAACAGAGATTTGGGTAACCAGATTCGTACGTTAGTGGAAGGGACAGTGAGCTCTGCTCAGTTCTGGTGACCAAACTGGATCCTTGAGTTCTGGATTCTTTATTTTTTTTTAATTCCATTAGACTCCAGATGGTGGATCTTAGGGTTCTAATGTTTTTATTGATTACAGGTGTAACCTGCCTTTCACCCGACAAATGTCAAACAAACATATCTTCTCATGAGTCTTGTGCAGTAGTCAAAGCAGAGAAGTCTCTCTGTCTAGAGCAAACTTCTCCACCTTTTCCCCTTCAGGTGTGTTGGACTCCATCATTGCCAACCAAACTGAAAAATTATGCACTTAATACTTGCCATTTCCATGTTGCACAAAAAGAAACCATGAGGGAGGTGGGATGACGTGCACTTGGCCAATAAATATAACATTCTCTTTGGTTTCAAACAAAAACCCACCAAACAGTGATACCTTTAATGGCCAACCAAAATGCACAATATACTTGTTGCAAGTATATCCTCTTTGGTTTGTTAACAAGCCCTTAGTGCTAGAAATCATGTTAATGTTCTAGTAGTCTTTGATTCTTACGAGAACAATAACATCCCAGAAGAGCCACAGAAGTTATGTTTCTTGGATTAACAGGTCATGATGGAGATAGATAGATGGACAGACAGATAGACAGACAGGCAGGAGTCCAGTCTACTTGAAGACCTATGAGCCTGCCCAGGCCGTGAGGTTTTCAGGAGAGGCCCTCTCTCAGCCCCACCGCCTTCAAAGGTGTGGCTGGGAGACACAGAAGACAGAGCCTTCTTGGTGGTGCCTCGAAACTCTGGAACGCTCTCCTTAGGAAGGTTAGAACGGTCTCCTTCTTGCTGTCCTTCTATCAGCAGGTAAAGACTCCCCACCCTGACAGGCTTTTAGAATAGAAGGTTTTAAAGGAAAGGTCTTTAAAGGAAGAGCATTTTAAATGTACTTTAACAAAATTTAACTGGGACATTTTAAAAAATTTTTAAAAATTAACTTTTTTTAAAAAATTCTTTCTAAATGTATGTTTAAAATTGTTGTATCAACTGGGAATATTGTGGGAGTTGTAGTCCAAGCCCTCATCCAGAGGGCCCTGCATCAGGGAGGCTAAAATAAGGAATGGCGTCAGAAGTCTGCTAAAAGTCAGCATAACTGGGGGGGGGGGGATAATGGGAATTGTAATTAGTCCACCTCATCCAGAGGGCACAGTATTGAGGAGCACAGTGAAATAGTCAATTGCATCCAAAATCCATTAAAAACCACTTACAGCCTCAAACTGTGTTTTTCCCAACCCTTGAGATTGCATGGGGCTCCTGATCCCACTGACTCTTTCATCTTCCCCCTGACATGGCTGGACTGCAATGCCCATAATGTGGGTTGGATGACAGATGGGTTGGACTTACGGTTGCCAGTTCTC